TTATAATAAGCTGGGGTTCATTGCTATACAGTTTACTGGTCTTAGTCCTTAGGTTGGGAACCACTGCTTTAAAGGGGACCTATCATGCAAAATGCACTTTTGTACGTCTTTTATACATGAATATGTGTCCCCGGTGTTCCAGCGAACTCACCAAGTGTCAGAAAACACAACCCTCTCTATTTTCCTCCATACCCAAATCTCTAAAAAAGGGGCTGCAACGGATCTGATAAAAACTGATCCAGATTTGAACACTGTCCTGACGTCAGGACGGTGGCGCTACGGCTATTGGGCCAACTCCACCAATCAGGAGGAGACCGCCACGGCCATTGCCGTTCGAAAGCGCTGGAGACGCTGTAGTACATATGCCAGGCCAGGAGATGGTGCTGTTCTCACTGAATCTGCCCCTGCACAAACAGAGCTAGAAATTGTCAAATTGAGCAAAATGAGGCATGGCTAAAATGCATGATCTGTTTGGTATTTTGAATTTTTTTTTATAAATATGCCTTATATAGGTATGGTCCTACACTATATTATTCAAATATAGCATGATAGGTCCACTTTAAATAACACATTAACACCATATTGTATTGCGTGTTATTATTATTTGTATGCCTTGCATCATATTCTTTAGATAAAACCATTTTGCAACACATGAAAGACCCCTCCACTTCAACGGCAACCTACTGCAGTCACTGTAAACCAATACACTGATCGTTGTTTCCTCAAGTAATCTAGTTGAACTCTAAAATATTAGCATGGCTCAAACAGGAAGCCCCGTAAATATCGTTTGATCCAACACGGCATACTGTTGCTTCTCCACCATCCACAGCTGGCCAATGAGGGGCTTCACTTTTCCAGCATAGTAATGCTACTGCTGCAACATGACATGGCCTAAATATAAGTATAAACCTGAAAGCAGTTATTGTGCTGTTGTGTGCTGTTTAGATATCATACAAATGTACTATGGCAGCTAAGAGTTTAAAAAAGAACTATGCCATACTTCCTTTTGATATCCTGTTTCCTCTTAGTTGCCCTGGGGATTACATAGTATTTCACACTGGTGCAGGAGTAGTGTGCCTGAGGGACAGTATTACCAACTAGTCCAAATGAGTGGATGCACTGTGTAATCGTATACATCATCAACAACATGTTGAATCAGCGCAAATGTTAAGCTCGCCTCTGCTCCCATTTCACTCATTCATCCGGAGTGAATGACACAGAAACGTCAGTAGTCAAGAGAAAGATTTATGAATTATAAAATTAATTATCTGTAGTTTGCTGTTAACGATGGGCAATAATCAAGGTTATTACTATCAGCTCTAAGTACGTTGTAACATTGAAGCTATTACTGTGCACCAGATGTAGTAGGGGTTGTAAATACTTAGTGATTGAATGCAATATAACTTAAGTACTGCACTTAGATACACATTTATAGTACTTAATAGTAACTTGTGAGGGAAATTCATTTTATTTTTTGTGTTTGTATCTGATTACGATAAGGAATAAGTGTTATTCCAAATAAACTATTTTAAAACCTTGTTGAATGAGATGTATAATTTATGGTCCCAAAGCTAAACATGGCAGTGTTTCTGAGCTCATTAACATTTTATTTTTTACAGATACTTACTGTGACATTACAAACATACGATGAGCTTATAGAATATGATGCATTATTTTGTATTAAACTACCCAACTTTACATAAGGTAGTTTAATACGCTCTACCTTGAATATCTCCAGCAGTAAAATACAACATACCCAATAATGCAGCCGTAATATAAATTCCAAACCATCATAATAGTAAAACAATATTTTTTGCATGATGAAGTATACTGAGATTTGCTGATAATATTTCATTCGGACTTAAGTATTTTTTGGAGCGCAAGACTTATACTAGTGGAGTATTTTCGCAGTGTGGTATAAGTACATTCACTTAAGTAAAGGATCTAAATACTTATTTCACCACTGTAGTAACCCATAGACTGTTTATTAGCTTGCAAACAAACCGGTCAGCTACACTACGGTTATATCAGAGGCAGACACTTTATTTTTACATGAGGCTATGTTTGTACTCATCATCAGACACAAATACAACAAAGGGTGAGACAAGATGTAACTAAGACAGATTAGAGCGCTTCTTCTAGGTTTAAATAGCACCAAGCATTACCTAAGGCCAAGACGATCTTTCCAGGTAAAACAACAGGTAAACATTACTCAAAGATAATGAGGAATACATAAATAAGATGTGCACAACAACCAGTGGTGTTAAATCAATTGAAATATGCATTGTTGATTTTTGGCAACAGCAATTGGTTCTGCTTTTATCAAAAATGTAATCTTTCTCTCTCTCACACACACAGACACACACAGATATGAAATGAAGACTATGTTTGGCTTATGAACCTTGGTCATATAATTAAGCCGTGCTATCACAGACGCCTTGAATGAATAGTTGATACACTTAAAGGTTTGATATCTGAAATCAAGGTAATAAATTGCCCTATTCATAGTTGCTGCTTAAGTCTAAAGGGGACAGGAGAACCTGAGATGAATGACTCATCATTACCATGATGGTCATGCAGTGTTTGGCTTATTGAAACAAAGCTTTGAAACTTCCTTGACATTTTGTTGAAGCTGTGGTGAAAGCATTCTGAAGTCTTTGCCGGTTAGCCTGTTGCTTTCATGACGTCACAGCAGGCGCCCAAAATGTACTTTAGGCTCCTTCAAAAGCACAAGACTGCTGAGGGTTTGACCTACAGGGTGTCAGCTCACATTACCAGAAACCATTGCAGCAACCCTGTTTGGGCCAGTGCAATGCTGTCTGTAGTATCAAAACAGATGGGCCCACTGGAACTGTTCCTCAGAGGAAGAGGATTTACAACAAGTAGGCGAATATCATATATTTTAATCAAAAGTTCAAATCAAATTATTTAGTTGTAAAACATTTTGACCAATTTGGATGCTTTTTAGGATCTGAGGCACAGATGGTGCAGAACAAAAGTCTTGGCCCACAGTTCAAAACACATGAAAAATCAACAGCCGTTTTAACAGTGATTCTCCACATAGTCGAATAAATTATTTTAGTTTTTTGCACTTCATTTTCAAGATGTGCCATTGCAGCTTACTAAACATAAGACACAAGGCAATTTGTTAGTATGTTCTAGAGAATCATTTCTGCACACATCCTTAAGATAAACTGTTTTACTGTGACATATGTTTGTTAACGCAGTAGTGTACATCATATCTTTAAAAGCATACGTTCATATGCACTAGCATACATTTCTTTAACAATAAATGGTGTACACATAACATATCGCTAAACATAATTGAAATCATGTTGATAATACACATATGAAAATATCATGTTGGCAGATGTTAGGCCTTGTGGATTTTCCTATCAGTTCATCAGGGGGAGAGAGAGGAGACGACATGCAGCAAAAGGGTCGAGCGTTGACCGGACCCCGGCCACTTAGTTCATGAAAATATTTGACAACATAAATGTCACATTATCTATAAATATTCAAACTTTCCACACACATTACAGGACATCTCAAAAGCCCAGCTAAGATTGGTCCATACAGTACTTACTGATCACTTGTTTTATACTAAGAGTATTTTTTGTTTTATAGTCAGTCATGTCAATGTCCTAACTTGGATATGTCAATTAGGTAATGTTAAAAGTCTATCTAAATGAGTGGTGGTCTAAAGCCACATGACACATCGTCTCACTTTGAAGGTTTTGTTCACCCTGACCCCTCCGGACCCCTCCCCCATGTTCCTGTTTTTCTTGACTTTGTTTACAGACATACTGATGTCACCTGGGCTTTATATGGCAACAGCAACCTAAAACAAACGTACAGTGTGTGAAGGAGCAGTGTTCACCTCTACTCTATGTTTAGATGGCAGTCAAAGGCAAAGCAGTGTCCTATGTGTTTCCATCTTGTTTCTCTCCTCTCTAGCCCTTTTTATCTGTATGACTCCCACATTAGGTTGAACCTGCTGATCACCACCTGTGGCTTTATTTACACTGATTATCCAAAACAAATAAAGGTGACAGGACACTATAAGGAAAATAGGAAATGTTATAAGAGCACAGAAAATTACCAAAGCTTTAAGCAACACACATGATCCTGAACATTCAAATGTGATAAACTGGAAAGTTTTCAAATAGTGCATCAGCTAATTTGAGCTACTAAGAGTTGTTTTTTAAAGCTCCGTGTGCGGTTTAACAGTCATGTCTCTACTCAAAGTGATTGATAGTGAGGTGAGGCCCCGGCTTGTTCTGCTTTAAGAAGTCTGAGCGTATGACTGCCTTGTGACTGCCTGCACTCACATATCTATAATGCAAACCTGTAAACAAATCTGATTAAATGAATCCTTAAAAATATTTAAAAAAACCCAAAGCTTCCTGGAACCCTGCCTTAATGGACTTCGGTATGAAAAATCAGGAACTGAATGAAAAACTGTTCCCCTTTTTCATTCAGTTTTTTCGGACCAACACTTTGTGTGGTGCATTGTGGCAACAACAGAGTTGCTTGACACATTAGGAACACAAACAAACTTGAGACTAATGTCATTTAAGGGGAAAGTTAATTCCATGAACTTGTCCAATCTGTCTGGTAGCTCCAAAGACTGTCTATTTTTAGTTGGTAGAGGGAGGGGAAAGGGGGGAGAGAGGGAGGAAAGGAAAACAAGAGAAGGTACAGATAGACGTGTCATAACAAAAAACAACTTGTTGGACCTCTTATCTTGTAAGATAAACATGATCTGATCTGTATTTATTTTGTCACTGTGCATTATACTGTATGTGAGACCAAATACTGGTCAGCCTATAGGAAGGGTGAGGAGAGGAGAGGAGAAGAGAAGAGGGGGGGACAGCACCTCTTCTTTACCCTGGTAGAGGGGAGGGAAAATGTGTGGAGTGGAGGAAGAGGAGGAGGAAGAGGAGGAGGAGGGGGAGTGAGCCTCTTCTCCGCTCCCTCTAAGAGCATTAACTGTAGAGTGTTCTGCTAGTGACAGGGCTGTCAGGGTCAGATGGCTGCTCAGCCTGATTAGACCAGCTCACAGCCGATCCTCCACACAGCCCACTGCTACAGCAAGGTATAGAGCACAGCACAGACGGCGCAGCAGCTATATGAGGCCAGGGTTTGCTGAGAGAGGAGGATAGTTTGCTGTTATACAGGGGAAGAGCAACAGGTTGTTGCTCAAAGACTTCATTTTCTGGTGGTTGAATACCAGACATTTCAAGTTCTAGAGGTGGAAAAAGACTAAAAGCAGGTGGACTCCACTGTGGCAAAGAGGCCCAATAACTGTGTGTTTGCCTGTGGTTGGAAATGACATTGAAAAGCAGGTAAGGACAACATTTTGCTTTTGTTTTAGTTGTTGTTATGCTGATAAAAGGTATTTGGGAAATGTTCCTGATGCTGTCACACAGCCAAACAGATGTTTGGTGCAACAGGTTTGTCAACGTTTGCAATGGCTATAACGTGTGTGACACATTTAGCTACAGCTATAAAGAAATTCCATTGAAATGTATTTCTACAGTAAAGTTTCAAAAGAAAGCTATCAAGCTAATCACAGTTATTCACTGGAACAGGGAAGACATGGCTATACTGCAGACTGTTGCTATCATTAAACTGTGGTGTGTCATATAATCAGCTGCTGGTATAGATACAGCTATAAATACAGCTACAGATATTCAGTGTCTAGGCAGTCCACTGGTTGCATGTCAGCGCTCTCACTGTTGTAGTGCTGCTGCTTGCTTCTGCAGGACTAACTCTGGTTGGTGGATTTTACTGTTTAGAGGCCAAGCTGTCCACTGAGGTAAGAAGGAAGGCTGTGTACTGTTGCAAAAACAACTCAAATGTAGGCATTGATAACATTTATTTTACAGAATGACTTGTGAATGGACCTTCAGCAGCAAAAATGGTGTCTTTATTTGTAAAGAGGCAGAGGTGAATATACTCTAAAACAGGATTCATCCTATTTTGAGGCTACTACCTGCCTGTCTTGTTGTTGTCTTTACTGCTAACCTACAAGCTTACTCTGTGTCAGTCAGCCTCACATTGCACGCACTGTAGAGAAGCTTGGCAACCTAACGTGGCTCTAAAATGATATTGAGATCCATTTTTAACTTCTTTGGGCCCTGACCTAGCCTGCACAGGCAGGTCAGTCGGCCAGCTAGACAGCCATCACGGGACACACCTGCTTTTAGAAACTAAACTGCGCTCTAAGATAAGAGGGAAGATCGGCTGTACAATTTTAATTAGAATTACTGCTACCGTCTAGTCATTTAAATGATGCTCCTTTATGCTTTCATATAATGTTTTGATCTTGGGTCACTGCTAAAAAAACACACATGGCAACTCCGTTAAAGTCAAAACAAACTTTTCAAAAAGTAAAACAAATGTTCTGTCTTCACATCGACTGCATGGAAAAAATGGTCCTCTGCTCTAACCTGATTAGTGGTAACAGAGGATAAATCCTAATTATAGATGGTCAACAACCGGGAATAGACTGCACTCTTCTGGTAGAGTCAGTGAGTAAGTCGGCATGTGATTATTAAGCGTGTGTGTGTACGTGGGTATTGTCAAAGCTAGGATGAAGAGGTGATGACGGATTACCCAGAGTACCTCTGGACTTTCCCTTGTTGTTTGTCTGAATGTTGGAGTGAGAGATAATCAGCACTTGTTTTCCACACAAATTACTTCCAAAACAAGGCAGAATCAAGACTTAGTAGCAAATATCAGTCTTGAATTTGCATAGGCTAGTGGCCCTGGTATTGGCAGCATTTTACTTAATATTTTTTATTCTAAATCATTACAAAGACAAACCAATTTCACAAGTAAGATTATAGATAGGCACACTTTATGCAGAATGTTTATATTTTTAGTATAATACAAACACTTTTTTAGTTCATTGGCAAGAGATTTAGAATATGTTTCAACGCACATATTCATGTGTGTGTTTGATTGTGTATGTACATCAGTTGCCTTTCTTTGGCCCTTCACATTACAGAAGAGGGCTATCATTATTATATTTTGCCTTACAGAATCAGCTGATTTTACAGATACTGTGATTGGAACATTGGAACAAAATGTATAATTTTTTCTTATTTTCATTACTGTTTTCTGGAGTTGCTTATTTAAAGACTAATATTTCAATTGTATGTTTTGTACTATAGAATCGCTGGTTGATGGAGTTTGTGCGGGGGAGTGGTGACTACTGCCACGCTCAACACCATTAAGGGCTACTTGGGATGAAGCTACAGCATGCAGTCCTGCGGCCCTGAAACCTGAAAGACCATTGCTCTCTGAAGCAGCCAGCTAATGGGGTAATACGTGGAGCCTCGACACTGGAAGCTTACCGGAGAGAAAAAGAGAGCTACTGAAAGACACAGAGAGAAGGACTGAAGTGACAATCTGAGAAATTAAAACAACGAAAGTTGACACGCCGTGCTTCCTGAACTATAGGACACAGTCAACTGATGGACTAAAACTGTACAACAGGACATCGGAATTGGGAAAATACCTTAAAGGCTATAAACAATCTCCCAACAGGAAGTTCAACCAGAGACAGGAGGTCACCTGGTGACCTGCTATAAGTTGAACTCACAGCAGCTACCTGCTGCAGCTCCAGCTGAAGGTAAGGGCCGTCTGCTCATCAGAGATGGACTAAATCTAGTTATGCATCAGCACTTCCTAACTCCTGCTCCTCATTGACTTGTTATGGCTTGGTTATAGGATTCTATTGCAGCTTTTTAGTTGTGTCAGTGTAAGCTTAAATCAGCCTTTGGCTTGCCTTTGCAGTAGGGGTGTAATATTTATTTACAAGAATGTTTTAATGTCGAATTCCTTAAATCGAACAACATCCTTCATTTTTTGTGCTGGTTAATGTTTTTTAAAGAAGTTGTTGAACAGTCTGAACACAGGAGACATTTCCTTATTTGAAAATAATGCAATAACAAAGCACATGCCATATTTATAGTGCAGCCAGTAGAATTCCTGTACTATATATGCTATACAGATTTATGAGTACACAGTATTTCCTAATGTCATAAATCACTCTTTCATTTGATGGTGGGAATTTGTTCAGGTTAAAACTCAGACTGTGTTCTAAATCCAATACTAAGTTACGGCATACAAACATACTGCATACTAACTTACTGCATACTACATACTTCATGTGTCACCTGTCTATTCAATTAAAAAGTTTGCCATTACTAGCAGACTGTTCACACTGAAGGTAACTCAAATGATACAGTGTGGTCTCTGCATCACATGACTCTATCAATCAAGATATTAACAGTCCGTGCTGTTTAATATACATTATTTGTTTGTATCCACATGACTTTTATGTTTTTTATATTATTTTAATTTGTTGCACCATAACACATGTGACCAAAGCCAGAGGGAGATTTTATTCAAGTGCAGTCGGTACCCACCCACACAGTTTTTAGATTAGGTCTAATCAAGCGTAATTCGTTCTTCTTTGAAAAATGTTGTCTCTTATGGAGAAGTGCTTGATTTAAGTGTATTTTGGAAGAAAGGACTTTTATTGTGTGACCTTGTGATAGGTCTTGAGATGTCTCAAGACAGTAACAGTTTCAGTTATGCTGTCTGGAGGAGTAAAGCTGGGCCTTTTTTCACAGCGGACGTTTTGGCTTGTCATGGTAGGAAAAGGGACAGGTGTTATTAATAGCACTAGCAATAGCTCTGTTCTATTCAAGTGTTAGCCACGACAGCGTGACAGTGATCCCACATTCAGAATAATAACTAAAGCAGCCTAATACAAATCAGCAATCTTATATTTTCCTCATTTAAACCTGTGCTGTTCTCACTGTGACCTGTCAAAATGTCTGCCATGAAAAAGGCCTTTGAGGTAACTTGAGAAATATAGTTGAAACTCTTCAAAACTTTATGAGCATTTTTATATGGTGTCATTTTGTTGACATCGTGTGCCATCGTAAGATAAATTCAGTACATTTTTCCCTGACAGAGGACGTTCTAGGACATTAAAGGTCACGGCTGCCAACATGAACCGCCCTGCTCCAGTGGAACTGTGCCACAAGAACATGAGATTCCTCATCACACACAACCCTACTGACAGCACGCTCACCTCCTTTATAGAGGTGAGAAACATATGTGTGTGTGTGTGTGTGTGTGTGTGTGTGTGTGTGTGTGTGTGTGTGTGTGTGTGTGTGTGTGTGTGTGTGTGTGTGTGTGTGTGTGTGTGTGTGTGTGTGTGTGTGTGTGTGTGTGTGTGTGTGTGTGTGTGTGTTAACAGAAGACCATAAGTACACTGAAGAGGTTACCAAAGATGACACATGGTACACATGCACATATACGTATACCTCATGGTAAACTGTATGTCTTTTCCCCTCTTGTTGATGACATGTAAACCGAGAGACATTTTAAGTTAATTCAAAAATGGTCCTACCACTGTCGTCCCTTCCAGGACCTGAAGCACTTTGGTGCCACCACAGTTGTTCGAGTCTGTGATATCACCTATGATAAAACACCGTTGGAGAAAGACGGCATTACTGTGGTGGTGAGCACTCAGCAAACACACACATACACACAAACACACAAACACAGAGGATACAGAGTGCCAGGAGTACTTTAAAAACTCTGCTCTGCTTTCAGGATTGGGCGTTTGATGATGGAGCCCCACCCCCTACGAAGCTGGTTGATGATTGGTTGAATTTGCTGAAGAAGAAATTTCTGGAGGAACCAGGATGCTGCGTGGCTGTCCATTGTGTGGCTGGACTGGGGAGGTGAGAGACACAGGGAGCAACAACAAGAAAACACAGTTTGTGTCTGAACACAATCCAAGTGATTAAACATATTTTATCTTATTGTCGATTATTAGGGCTTTTTATACTGTATATATTTATGAAACATTTAAATATAAACCTATTATTTTCACATACTTGCCTACATAATAGTCATTTATATGTGCTGTCTTCATCTGACTAGGGCTCCTGTGATGGTTGCTTTGGCTTTGATAGAGAGCGGGATGAAGTATGAAGATGCTATTCAACTCATTAGACAGTGAGTACATTTGATTATTACATCCTCATAAAGCAATATTAAATATTAATATTAAATGCAAACAGTGTCTTATTCCAATTATATACACAGCAAAGAAAGCTGGTTTAATATGATAAACAATGCATTGTGTTATCAATCAATGAATGCAGTATTTAATGAAACCGTTTTTGAGTAGAAATTGAACATTTCTTTCTTGGTGCCATCTGGTGGTGATATCAAATGAATAAGAGAACAGACCGGGCAGAAGGCATCGCACACTAAAAAGGCGTGTTCTTGCATCATACATAGTGTTTTTATGTGTGTTTCAGGAAACGTCGGGGAGCCATCAACAGTAAACAGCTAACCTACCTGGAGAAATATCGATCAAAGCAAAGACTTCGCTTCAAAGACTCTACTGCACACACGAACAAGTGTTGCACAATGTGAACACACACACACACACACACACACACACACACACACACACACACACACACACACACACACACACACACACACACACACACACACACACACACACACACACACACACACACACACACACACACCCTCAGACATCTTGTACCCCTCAACAAATGCTCTCAGGAAAGAACCATACAAGCCTTGTCATCTTGTCATAAAACCTGATGTGTACCCTGGGAATTTTTGACAGCGGGTTTGTTACAATGTATCTTTATTCCCTTGTTTGTTAGAATTCTTGGTCCCTTTTAAATTATTGTATTGGCATGTTTGCTTCATTTTATAGATACCAGTGAAAGAAATTGCCAAGATGGGCAAGACAATCCCATAAAAATGTTTGTAGCATATTGTTAAGGCATATTTGCTCAACTAAATAGCTCTGGGAAAGACAGAAACTTTGGTCAGGGATCAGGTCTTGAGGTTTCACATTAAAATGTTCAATAAAATAAATCCATAGAGTACAGTACAAGTGGGCAAACCCATACAAATTGGTGTTGCTGATTTAAATTGATACAAGGCCTTCAAAATGTCAAATAATACTGCATACTTTGTTAAAGGTGGGGTAGGTAAGTTTGAGAAACCGGCTCGAGATACACTTTTTGTTATATTCCATGGAATGCTCTTAACATCCCGATAGCAATGAATATCTTAAGTGCTTTGACAAAAAATCCATAAAAAAATGTCATCTGTGGAAGCCGTAGTACTGTAAAAAGCACGACCAATCATTTTAGCCGACCCGGCTAAAATAACTGGATGGCCTACCTGCCTGTCAGCCTTCCATCTGTGCACAAACTTATCTCATGCCCTCATTGGTCATGTGCGCGTTCGTGTGTGTTGGAGGAGGGGCTCTGTAAGGAAGTGGCAGATTTTTTCCGGCTGTGTATTTTCAAATTCTTGCGCACTCGAGCTGGTTTCTCCAAAATTACCTACCCCACCTTTAAGTAACTATTTATTTTTTCAATGATGTACACATGTTCAATAATAGTTTAAAACTCACCATTATCAGGGTAATAACAAGCAGTATTTATGTAAGATTGTTTTATACCAAAACCTTTAAAACCATAATGTTGTAGCTCAGGGTTTTTACTATAAATTTAAGTCAATACTATAAGTAACCCTCTCTTTGACATTATTCCTTTTATTGTCTCTTCTTTAGTTTTAGTTTAACTGGAGATATAAGGGCTAATTTTCATCCGAGTATTTTCTGACATTTGTCTAAAAATAAGATATTATTTATTGTCTATGATCATTGTGAATATCAGCTTTTGGTAAATATAAAGCCTTCATTTGGTTTTGTCACAGTTGCCGTTTTAAAATTACTCCATTGTGCTCAAGTTATGTGTTTACATATCAATGTGTGCATTATATTATGCTCTGTTTACTGACATTCACAGAAGGAAACAGTTGATTTGAAGCCAAGTATAAAGTATGTAGTATTTTAATAATACATTACACACAGACTTAAAGGACTGATTATGTAATCTAGTTGTGAATAATGTAAACAAATGTGATCCTATTTTTATCCCTTTTATTCCCATGGACATAAGGGTTAAACCACTCCTACCATTCATTGACAACAACAATTTGCACACAAAAAATAAATAGTTTCAAATATGTGTATATTATATATTCTATATTCTGTGTCATAGAGGAATTTACATTTTATCAGCAGTGGAGGACACAATCTCCTAGTTTTAATCCATGGATGATGTGTAAATGGAGGTACTGGACTAATCCTAACGTAAATATAGCTGCGCATCATTTATGTCTAGATCACACTATCTACTAGGTCAAAGATTATCTTGTGGGGTGGAGTTTACTTATGTGTTTTGTTCCTGAATGATGCTTGCAGCCAACTGCTTCCTTTTTTGCTGATGATAGAGCATGCCCTTTTTGTTTTAGTAGGTTGCTAGTCTCCCATCATCTATGGTCTTGAATGACAATACGTAGAAAATAAAATGAGAGCAGAGGGTGTAACATTGATGTTAAAAAGGAGATAGGAATAGGATCAACCACGTTTTCCTGAAAGCTTAGCAAATTGGCTACAGATTCCTTGTTCATATAATGTGTGTATGTTTTTTGACTGTGTGTGTGTGTATGTGTATGAATGTGTATTTGTCTATGTGTTTGTGTATGACTGTGTATGACTGTGTGTGTATGTTTGTGTGTGTGTTTTTCGCAAACTTTAGCCATTGTAAATCCTTGGGACTGGCATAAACCAACACTTTTTTAATGTAAAACAAATGTTGTAAACGTCTGTTTGTCTGTAAATTCTCGCACTGTTAAATAAAGTTTTTGTCACTGTCCCTTTATTATAATAGTTGTTCACGATTTCTTCTGTCTATTTGATGCATTTTAAAGATATGATATGGCCTGTATTTGTTCGTAAACACCTTATGTTACATAAGAAAAAGAATAATTACTTTATAGCAGACACACTGTGTTATTAACACAACTTGAACTAAACATACAAAAGTCTATGTCTATGTTCAACAGTGTTGAAGCCTCATGGCACAATTGGCAACATATAATATACATATACGTTTTAACCATGGCCAAAATGTGTTTCTTTGAGGGAAACTGAACTCCTAATTTGATGCAGTTCCCTCCCTGGCCGCAGTTCAGTCCCCCCGCCACAGGGGGCGCTGCTCTGCCAGCTCTAGCGTCACAACAGAGCACTTCCGCTGGTCGGAAGGACTTGTGTGGCAGATTCGTCAGAAATGTCTATGTGCGTTGTATCATATAAGGCTCTAAAATATAAATTCAGTGATGGCATTTAGCTGTATATGCCTTAACACCATCGATAAATTAGTATTGTTTTGTTGTTGAATCGCTGATGAAATGGATGGACAAAAAGCAGGTAAGAACTTTGGCTAGCTTCAACTCGAATATGTTTGTCGGGTATTCATGTTAGTTTGGGCCAAATCAAAATAAACAAACGTGTTAAGTTTTTATTTATTTTTTTCATTATTATCAGGCTTTTTTGTGATAAAGGTACTCTACTGTCATTCTCGGCAGCTGTCATGACTGACGGCAGAAAGTGTTGACTATCGTCAACCCTGAATCTGTCACCGTTATATTATTATATTGAACGTTTTGAGACAGCATCAAACTGTGTGGACAAAGATTGATGTTCGACCTTTATTTAAAAAGAAAAGACGTAAAGCTCATATTTTCATTTTTATTAAATTGTTAATCATCAATTTAACAATAATCAAATACATATTACTATATTAAAGTTGTAATATTAACACGCTCACGGTATCGTTATCTGTGGATGGACACAGTAATTGCCTAACGTTATTCATGTCGATGTGTCTGTCAGATGCTACTTTTTATTAAAGCTGACATCAATGTCCTAACAATTCTGAAATAACCTGTGCTGTATATAAATGACATCCTCCATTAGCCTTCCTCATTATTTAATTCACACTCCCTCCCATTTTCTTGATGTTCTCTCTCCTTGTAACTTCTGTTGCATGTACAATATAGACATTAGGCCTACAATTAAACACAAGAAAATGACAAAAATGTAAATATAAGCATCTGCAAAAACACATTTGCAGAATGTAACACCTTAACAAATAAAGATAAAAATGGACTGAAGCAATGTTCCTTTTTGTGTGTGTTTGTATATTAGATGTTATGCACTGTCAAGCAAAAAAACAAAACAAGTTCTTAATAGATATTGCAGTTGGTTGAAGGGTTTAGTCTTGGGGGTATCAGAATGAGGAAATGGGGTACAATCACTCAAAAATAACAACATTTGCTTTATTGTTGAGAGCAGGCATTGATATTAGCCTTCTTTCCTTTTCTCCACAGCTGGTTCTGTGTTTATGTGTCGGCTGTGCAACATCTTCTCTCCCAGTCGCTCTCAGCTGCTGGCCCATTGCTCCCAGCTGCACCCACAGCAGGAAGCCCCTGATGACATCATCGTTTCCCTGCAGCCCCTTATAGGAGAGACTGTGGAGACACCAGCAGGTCAGATTAGCTTATCATTGCTAGAATAACCATTCCAAAATGATAAAAAAACAAAACAACTATGCGCATAATATTTCAAAAGAATCATTACTTTGTTTAGTCATTTTTGAATGAATTTGACTTTGTTTAGGGAGATTACAATGAAGTTATTACAGTGTATCAGACACAGAAAAAAAGATATGGATGGAGATGGATAATCTCGTTGTTTCTGCGATCCCTTCGTGGAATCAGTTCATTGACAAATAACCTGGTGTTGTCTTCTTATTTGTTCTGCTGTTATGTCGGCTCACAGAGAGCCCAGTAAAGCGAAAACGAGGACGACCAAAAGGCTCTACAAAGAAGACGCGCACAGATTTGACAGAGGACAAGGCGGACTCCTCCAGTTCTCTGAAGGATGATGTTCGAAGACAAGAAGAAGGGAATAAGGAGAAGGGAGACAAACAATGTAGCTCATTACAAGGTAGTATTGGTCAATTGATATGTATCCCATAGTACTTTGTTCATACAAAAGACAAGAAGTACCCTATGCATGATAGAAGATTATTATGACCTTTAATTGTTTCAAGGATATGGTTTCAATTAGAGATTTTTGAAAATATACTACACCAACTGTTTTCCACCATTAACATTTTAACTTCTTTTTTTTTAAGGTGAAAGACATAACGGTGCACTAGGGCTTGAATGTAAAGACTGCCACCGCTCATTCAGCAACAGACGACAGATCCTCAAACACATCTGCCTGAGGGATGATGAGGAGGAGGAGGAGGACGAAGAGGAGAAAAGTGAGGAGTTAAATAAATCGGCAATTAAAAAGTTTTGGACATAGAGTTTTTCAAAGTTGCAGTGACCTCAGCAAGCATGTTTGGGATAATCTATTATTGGATAGATGATTAAATGTGTTAACTACAGATGTTGGGTAAAGGAACAGAAGAATACAATTTACATACATGAATTGTACTTGAAAATTCAGGTGATTATGCTTAACAGACCCAATACATTTTAGGGAGCGTCTCTGGTGGAGCGGGAGCTGAGAGTTCTGGGAGTTTGGATTCTGTTGGAGTAGATCCAAACCAAACGCAACAAAATCCAGCAAGGGCAGGACTTGTGAGAGAAAAAGGTGAGTTTAAGTTCAGAACATGGTTTCTTCAAATTAATTATTCCTAGGATGGACACTAATTCGTAAATTCGATTTGTAAATGATGAATGATGCTAGCGGCCTAACCCCTTCTTTTTCTCTGAGACACAGGCAGCCTCAGATCCCCAAGAAATAACCGAAGCCGCCGCTCCAAAGAAGGAGGCCTAGCAACAGGAAACAAGAAGTCTGTCATCAGCGTTGTTCTGACTGAAGATAAAACACTTCCAGGTTTGTCATAAAGTCATAAACATTTTGGCTAAAGACTGACTGGACTGCTTTATCAGAAATATTTACAAGAAAGACTTGTTTCCTTTTAACTCAACAGGTGTTTCTAAAATGGTTCCAGTAGAGGACAATTCAGTGGAAGCAGATTATTTGGCAATCCAAGCTCAACCTCAGGTAAACACAGGAATTCACCCAAACATTCACCCAAACTGTAAAGTATGTAGCCTGGCAGACAGTCTGGATTTATTTATAAACTCTTAACAGTGTCACACTCTTAGTGTATAAGTGTCTCAGGGTTGTGTTTCTGTAGAAGGTTATTTAAAAAAAGAAAGTATAACAAATCAGTCTTACATGTTAAAGTGTGTTTTTGTGTCTTTTATTTATTCTTCCAGGGTCAGACACAAGATCTTGCAAGTGAAGCCCCTTCCTGTGAGGGTAACCCTAAAACAGACCAGGAGCCAAGGTAGTGTCATAGAGAATGTCCATGTCCCCTAAAATTGCATGATTGATAAGACACATTGTTAGTAAGCTTGGTAAAATCTCACAGAAACATGTTGTTATAAATAATGTTTTTAAGCTCCTTGTTGTTTGGTGCTTGAAGCAGTCTGACCTTTACCTCCCACCTTTTACTCTAGTTCTAACCCGACCTCCACAACAACAGCACCGAGCAGAGGCTTCCAGGAATATTCTATCAAGCAAGATGCAACCAAGTACTGTATGCATACTGTTTATTGAATGTATTAACAATGATTTTATATTATTGTCATCTTAGCTTTGGGGAATCAGTGTAGTTGAATGATCCTGTGTAAAATACAAGCTACATACTAATGTGAATAATCTAATCTGACTATCTAACAAAATGCTTGCCTTGTCTATCCGTTAATTTGAAGAGTTAAGAGTATTCTCTTTCAGTATTGGTAATTTGCTTATCTGTGCAGCCTAGAGCCAGCCAAAGGATGTTATCTATTTTTTTCAACAACAACAAATTCACTGCTATGATGCAAACTATACGTCAACTTGTAAATGTAATTCCCTTACTCTCTGTCTCCCAGTCTACTTCAGAGCCAGCTGAAGATCTTTGCCTGTGAGTTCTGTAACAAAATCTTTAAGTTCAGACACTCACTGGTCGCCCACCTGAGGACACACACCCAGGAGAAACCATTCCAGTGTCCTCACTGTGACTACGCATCGGCCATCAAAGGTAGATCAGTGTCAGTGTCCTTATTGATTCATCATTAAAGAGGGTTAACAAAGTTTTTATATATATATATATATATATATATATATATATATATATATATATATATATATATATATATATATATATATATATATATATATATATATATATATAATAGTGCATAGGAACCAGCCCATGAGTATATTTGGAAATATCAATAGTCACAAACAAACAAAACGAAATTGCTGTAAGGATTTAAATAACAAAATCGTGAAACCTGCATCCACTGTAAATTCCTGTAAAAGCTGACTACCTTCCCACCTTCTTTTCTCCTTTAAGCCAATCTGAATGTTCACCTGAGGAAGCACACAGGAGAGAAGTTCAGCTGTCAGCACTGTCCTTTCAACTGCCTGAGCCCAGGACACCTCAAGGTGCTGTACCAACTCTATTACAGATATTGATAATATTAGTAGCAAAGTGTTATATCCAGAGTATAATTATTATTAACATAACAGCTTTGAGACAATACTAATTTCAACACCCACATAAATTGTTATTCTGGGCGCAGCAGTGATTCTGTGTTTCTGTTAATGCAGGTGCACATAGAGCGGGTCCATTTGAAGGTGAAGCAGCACTGCAGCTTTTGTGAGAAAAAATACTCAGATTTGAAGAACTTGCTGAAACACATGGAGAAACGACACAACCTGAATGATGCTGCTGTCTACCAGAGCTACCAAATACTCAGGTTTGATTTTAAACATCTACATTATTTAAGATAAGAATAAGATAAGAAGTACTTTATTGATCCCAATTTGTGAAATGTTTGCTGCAAGCAGCATAAAAAGACAAGGCATTGTATGTTAGAGAAATTAAAAGACTATAAATAAACAATCCAAAATGTAAACATCTCAAATAGAAATAAAATAGCATTACAAAAGTAGAAAATATACATGTTTAAATACGAATTTACAGTAACAAAATAAAAAGCAGGATATTATATGTTAGAAAAATATCACTCGTCACCGGCTTGAGCTTCAATATCAGGATACATGTATTTATAATCCTTGCAAGAATGGAAGTAGTCATCACATACTGTACAGAGCATTTGGTACAACTAGTTCCCAGAACAGTGTCCTTCACATGCTCATATACAAGAGAGGGTGTTACACAGTCACAAGATGGAGGAATACCGGTTCAAAGCAGTATTCAATGTTTAGTTTAGATTAGCTAAGGCCCATGTCAGAAATCATCATGCTTGTCATATGTCTATCTCCATAGAGGCTGAATCATCATGTTAATCACATAGCTATCATATGCCTAAAACAGTGTGTCCTGACACTCTTCTAGGTAATCATACATCCTGTTACGTACACAGCTACGTAGGGCCTTTGTTATCATGTGCTACTCTGATATTGGAAGAGTACATTCAGTATTTTCCCAACATTATATATACATTAAGTGTGTAAGGAATGGACTATTTGTTTGTTCCTTTCTGTCACACCTGCCCTTCTAATCTGTTCATGTGGTCCAGGTTGAAGACCCGTCAGGGCCTCAGGCAGCTCCTCTACCACTGTCCCACCTGTAACCGACGCTTTAAGAACCAGCTGGAGCGAGAGCGCCACCTGTTGGTCCACGGGCCCCAGCGTCCCTTTGCCTGCCTCCTCTGTGACCACGCTGCAACCAAGATGGCCAACCTCGCCGCTCATGTCAGGAAACACCTCTTCTTATATGTGTGCTGCGTGTGCGATGGGAAGTTTGTCAGCTCCCAGAGACTGAAGAGTCACCTGAAAGAATCTCACCTGGAGCTGGACCAGGGACAGGCCTTCACCGACTGCATCAACAACAGCTACTACCTGATACAGCCTGGGGGAGGCATGTGGGGGGAGGAGGAGCAGGACGATGTAGAGAAGGAAGAGCTAAGGATAGAGCAGGAGGGGGAAGATGAGGGCACAAGAGATGAGAGTAGAGGAAATGGTGAAGGAGAGGGGGAGTTGGGAGATGGCGAAGGGGGGCAGCCAAAAGTAGCAGCGAGCATAGATGTGGAGCAAGAGAAAGAGGAAGAAGAAGATAAATCTCAGAGTGAAACCACAGAAGAAGTGCAGGGTACGGAAAGAAAAATAAATGCACAGCAAAGTTCCAAAGAACAGCTTCATTCAGACATTTCTTCAGAAACTCCCATTGACAGACAGGAGGAAGAAACAGCTGGGCAGAAATCACAGGACAACTCTGAGGAGGCGTGCTCACCTAACACCCCTCTCTTAAAGGAAAGTACGCAAGGAAACTCACACTCAGCTGAGGAGAACACACACACAACTGTGTCATCACCGGCCGCAGGGGGAGATGAACTAACTCCACTTTCAGAAAGGGTAAAATAAATACAAGTACAATAATGTCAGCTTGCACATAAGCACATAACTCTTATTAATTGGCCACTTATTTTCATAATGAATCATTTTCCCTTATTTGTCCAACAATCCAGACTCAAAGATATTACATTTAATATAATGTTTAGACAAAGAAGTTAGTATTTTAGAAGGCCAAACAAGAGAATTATGGTATGTTTGACCTAAATATAATTTGATGGTTTATCAAATATCGAAATAGCTCCTGATGAATTGTTTTGTCGATGGAAATGACATCACTAAGGAATCCATCTCTAGTGCCTTTATGATCTTTAACATTACAAGGCTTTTTACAAATCTCTATAGGGTGTTCACAGACAATGTTAACACTCAAAAAGTAGTATGATGTAGTCTTATAATTTGTTATTGAATTTAAAGCATATGTAAATTAATGAATGCGTCTGAAATATTTACTTATCTTAGAGGAATTCTACTAACTCTTCCCATCCACTCCTGAGGTAGCAGCTTTGCTCCTGGCAGTCTGAGTTTTAATCTTTATCCTCTGTCGGCAGGTGTCGGAGGTTTTCCATCAGAATGCGTTCGAGCAGGTGTTCTCATCTCTTCCGAAGACTCGGCTCAATATGGAGTCTTTCCAACGGCTCAGGAAAATGTATGGGGACCTGGAATGTCAATACTGTGGTGAGAAGCTGGTTTTGTTTTATCCTGTTATTTAATTAGTTTCATTTCACAATATAGTATATTATTATCTATTACTTAGCTTTTCCTCTATGTGGCTTGAGTGTTTGATAGTTTCTTTTTTTTGCTGCATAGGTAAACTGTTCTGGTACAAAGTCCACTATAACATTCATGTGCGCACACACACCAAGGAGCACTCGCATTACTGTTCAAAGTGCAGCTACTCGTCCATCACCAAAAGCTCTTTGAAGCGGCACCAGATCCAGAAGCACAGCGGCGTGCTGCTGCCCTGTTCCAACCCCGGCTGTAAATACACCACACCTGACAAATACAAACTCCAGGCCCATTTGAGGACCCACCAGGAACAGGTAACAAGCCTTCACTATACTGGATAAAAAAGTTAATACCGGAATCTGAAGCTTTAATCATGGGTAAAACCTTAAGTGTTCGCTGTGTGCACAATTGTAAGTGCGTATTTTGACCATATCATAGTTGTTATGCATATTTTCCAACTCCAAGCTGTATAAACTTGAATGCATATTAGATTTAAGCATATTAGGTTATGTGTATTTGTGTAATGAGGGAGGGTGTGGCCTAAGGAGATCAACACCCTATATCAGGGTGCAAAATGGGCCCAATATCTGCACACATATATTTTCTCCTAGGAGAGCCTAAACCTCACTTGAATTATTTTTAATATTCAGGTTTGAGATTTATTCATATTTTGGTTTGACCGAAAGCACTGTAGTGGTTCAATAATCTAATTAATCCTCAAAAATACAACTTTCCTAATAATTGGGCACACAGTGTATTACCGATTACTTCTGTGAAGGATGCAGACATTGACGATTGATTTCTCTTGGTGGGGTTTGTCATGTTTTTCTCTTGCTGTTCATTTCAGGGAAAGAGTGCAGCATGTCCCGTCTGCAACAACAGCTATCCAGAGCACAGACTGAAGCACCACATCAAAACATCCCACCCCGGTAAAGAACACACAAATACAGTATATCTACAGATATAGACAAAACTCACACAAAACATTTTTCTCTTAAAAGTGTTAATTTTCAAACCTGTCGCTTTCAACCCAAAGCATTTGACTCACATGATTCATTCAACAGCCATCTGATATTTTGAATCTCTGATTTCTAATTCTTGATGACAAATCATGCGATTTTGTAGTTTAAAAAAACAAAACAACAACATGTGTTTCTAATCCACAGTGGGTTGTAGGGCTCAGAGGGTTTAATCAGTTTGAATGTTAGTTTGCTCAATCTGCCCTGCACTTAATAGCACCTAACTGAAATAAATATGAACTCACATAACCAAGTTTATTAACATTTCCGAGGTTGCTTTTACATTTTGTGTGTTGATGTGTTGTACAGATGCACTGCCTGTGCAGGGTAAAGGACTGATGGTGCAGCGTGCAGAGAAGTGCCCCTACTGTGAATCCTACTTCCTGAAGAACAGCAGTGACTTCCAGCGGCACATCTGGGCCCATCAAGGTGCGATATTCCTTTACCTTTAAACCAGGCAAACACAGACACTGCACAAGGATGGAGAAACACATGCAAAGTGTTTCACTGCATGATTAATGTGTGAAGTGAGCTTCTTCCATCTGGTTCTCCTCCTCCTGGCTGCCCTCCAGGAGGATGGACTAGACAAATACACACTGCAGACATTGTATACAAATAGAAACTCTAACAAACTAAATGTTCTACTTGTATGCTGTTGACAAAATCTCATAGAGGAAAATAAACAATGCTGAAAATAACAATTGGCAGAAGTTACCTTAAAATGATAAGACATTCTTTGTTTCAGTTTTGAGGACTGTTTTTCCTTCCAAGGATAGTTTGTTAAAAAACAACTCTTTTGCTAGGCCTTATGTTAAATATCTTAAATGTTATATTTATCTCGGAACCTAATGAGTGCCAATGCTTAATGACTATGTGGTTGCTTAGCTGAAGTTATTTGATACTTAAACCATGTCTTAATTAGCTGTGATGTCCAATGTTTTGCTTTGAGGAAGTGAATTGTTAATATCAGCCTCTTTGTCTCTTTACCTACCTCTTTAAACACTTGCCTACCTCAATGATCTTGCTTCCTTGAAGTTACATCACAGGCTGAGGATGTTGGCAGACATAAATCCAGCACAGGTGTTGATGAAGGTCTCAGTGAGCAGAGCCAGTTAATCAAAAAACACCTTGCAATGCATATGCTCACTATGTTATTCAGCAGTTTTATCTGATTTGGTTTTCTTCACACTTTCTCCCACCGTCCTTGAGATTTTGCATGTCCCACTAAAGAAAACTTGCCCATAAGCATCACTAACAATCCAGTCACAAATGTAGTCTTTGTCTGTAAAATATATGTTGCTAATTGTTATGTTATTCTAATAAACTACATATAATGTAAATGCACTCATAAACAACATTTTTAATTAAAAAAAGTTCTGTCTTATTTAGAGCAATCTGTAACACCTCATCAAATACCATCTTGATTTTAAACACTTTTATATCCCCTTGACTCTATAAAAGTCATGTTTTTGGAATGTTGTTGTTGTCTCATGTGGTTATTCTTTTGTTCTGGTGTGTAGGTGTGAAGCCGTATGTGTGCGGTGTGTGTGACTATGCGGGCCGCAGCAGGAGTAACCTGAAGACTCACATGAACCGACACAACACAGAGAAACGTCACCTCTGTGATCTGTGCGGGAAAAAGTTCAAATCTAAAGTCACGCTCAAAAGCCACAGACTGAGCCACACCAATGAAGGTACATATTATTTGTCTATTCATTGGAATTTGACTAACAGGATTTTTTAGAAAGTGAAAAGCGATGATTAATAAAAGGAGAATCTTTTTTTATGTTAATTCAGGGAAGCGTTTTCAATGTTCAGAGTGTGACTTCACCTCGGCCTCCAACCCGTCCTTGCTCAGACACATGGAGCAACACGCTGAGTTTAAGGTTGGAATAACACACAAGCATCACTCCAGATGTCATGTTCTTGTTTTGATAAAAAGATTGAGAAGTTGTTTAGAAAAGTCAAATTTGTATTTTTTAATCACGTCATATCTGGTTTTCTTCTATCTTTGTAGCCATTTCGCTGTGCACACTGCCACTACTCCTGTAACATTGCGGGTCCCCTGAAGCGACACTACAAGATAAAACACCCGGATCAGAAATATCAGAATGCCGGACCTGGACTGCCTAACCCCGATGCTCTGAAACAGCAAGGTCAGAACTCTGCTCTCATTCTGCCCTGTCGACACTTTTCATGTTGTTTATAGTCACATTTTGCCAAAGTAGGACACTTGTACTGAGTAAAGACTTTAAAAGTGTTGTGGTGAAGACTCTCAGGAGCGAGAATCTATTTTGTGCCAGGAGAAAAATCATTAAATATTACTTAATTCCTGCAGCAGTACAAAACAAAATGCTTGTTCAGCATAACCTAAAATAGCTTTTGTGTGTGTGTGTGTTTAGGGGGTATGAAGTGTCCTGAATGTGAATTTGTTTATGGCACCAAGTGGGAGCTGAATCGACACCTGAAGAGCAAACACAGCCTGAAAGTGGTGGAAGGCACCTGGGAGGTAAACAGTGTTCACTTACACAGAATAGATGCATTGAAACTGTTTTTTAACGTTGCTCTGAGGATTGGCTATGATCGTCTCACCGTAGGTCTGTCACATTGGAATGGTTATTGCAATTTTGGACATACATTAAACGCCTCCCGGAGGTTATTCTATATTGACATGGGTGTGCTCTGATTTTTCTCTTTAGCGCCACCCTTAGGTCATAGTTTTCACTTATTGTATGAAATATTTCAAAAACACAACAGCTATTAGTCTTGTTTCTGTCCCAAAATGATACCAAAATGTCAGGAGCGGGAAAAAAACAAAAAACATGCCAGCTCAATCATGTTAGAATTTAGTTTATTTATTCGTCAATGTCAGTATTTTCAGGTAAATGCAATCTCTGCCTTATCTATGAATATTCAGGTTGGGGAGACAGTGGAGGCTCAGTATGTGTCTGTGGAGGATGAAGAGCAGCTGACAGAAGTACCTGAAGAATCCCTACATGACAACGGTAACCACAGCAACAGTGATAAACAGACAGTAGGCACAAACCAGCCGACATGCTTTCATATGAACTTTGTGACACGTCACAATAAATGCGTGTCTTCTATGTTTAGTTAATATCCAGCAGATCACTGAATACAGTTCAGAGACTCACGATGCCGTCACCTCCATGGTTGCCATGGCGCCAGGCACTGTTACCGTCGTACAACAGGTAAACAACATCTCATCACATACTCAGGAAATCACGAGTGTTTACAGCAAAATGTTGATGTCGAGCTTTGTCTGAAGTTGCAGGTGAATGATGAGCAGGAAGTGGGGGACTGCAGAAACCAGCTGATGGTGGTGAATGCAGATGGGGGTCTAACAGGAGACCAGGTGATGGTGGTAGAGGACGCAAATGGCCTGGAGGCTCTGACAGTCCTCACTCAGGGAGAAAACACTCACCACTACATCGTCTACGTCCAGGAACACACTGTAGAAATCAACTAGGGATGCTAACATTTCATCATCTGTTGATCCATCAGTGTTGAAAAAGTGAAGTTACAGAAAATGTACCAGTAAGCAAATACAATATGGATTTTTATCATGATTAAGATCATTTCAGTTTTATTTGTACAAATGAAAACTATAAGTACAATAATTGTTTGTATTATTATGTGACATATTTTGTATTTACAAAGTATATTTAAATAAAAAGCCTGTCTTGCACTGCTCAATGCTCCTGATTGATTTTATTTCCTTAAAATACAAAACAAAATTCCAACGTATAACATTCATGAGTTATAGCATAAGTTCAGTTATTGCTCTAAAATATTCAGAAATTATTTAAATGTTAGTAAAGTAGTAATAAAAAATCATTTACAAATTGCCATTTATGATTGATTTGTTATGAACACAAAACATTTACATAATACTGGTAAATGAAACCACGAACTGTAAAACGTCAAAAAATCTTACACCAGAAACTAAGTACAACATGCATTATTTAGACAGTATGTGAACTCTGTAATTAGTCAATTTTCATATACACGAGATTTTTTCTTATTGACCTATGAATGCCATTTTCATATTTTATTGCAGCCAAGAAAGCATTTAGAATTCACAGTTTATTTAATTGTGGGTTTCGATGTAGAGTTAGTGAATGAACTGAAATGAATGCAACGATTTCGATGTGTTCACCCGTCTGTTCTGGATCATGGTGTTGTTCAGTCTCAGTCCAATAGGTGGCAATGGCGCGCACTGTGCTCTGGTGTCAACATCCTGTACTTTGTATATATTACAGAAGAAGAAGAAGCGGTGGGAAATTTGACATTGCGCGAAAGGCTGTTGTTCACAATTGAACGATATTTTAATACAAGCTAACATTATTAGTGAAAATACTGATGCTTACACGACATGGACCGGTACGTTTTGATTGTATGCTTTGGGCAAACTGACGAAGAGCTGGCAGAGGAGAATACATGTAAGTTACTTTGATATAATCTAAACTGCAACCAAGTTGAGTTAGCCAGTGGCTTGAAAAGTGTTCCAATACATGTAGACACCTTTATCAACAACCACACATGAGTTAACAAAATATAGTATCTGTAAATATCAAGGCTACATTTTTAACTGCTTGTTTCAAGAAAGTTGAGTCACTTTCTGGCTTATGGCGTTAAACATTTAAGCTACACAGTAAAAACAGTCTACTGTTTACAGAAAAAAGGACAATGTGTGACGTAATTTAAGTCTTAAAAGTTGGTAACTGACAGGAAATTGAAGGAGGAAATATGTTACCTGCATACAGTGCAGTTTTCTTAGATTTCAGTATGTAAATTGACAATGGGTTAACAGTTGGTGCAACAAATTGCTTATTTTAACCTGCAATTTAGCAGCAGTCTGCTTGTGATAAACCCTGAACTGTCATTGTTCACAGGTCTGGAGTCAGTGAAACAGATATATGACAAACTTGTGGACATCTCAACCCAGGACTCAGTCAGAGGAGTCTCTGTATTTCCAGGTAAAGTAAATTGAGCACTTTGGGCCTCTTTCACCCTGTGTGACCTCCAGACATAAGATATGTTATTTCACAACGTTCCTCACTTCTGTATTTCTTCTGTACACTTCCCAGCTTGTTCTCTCAGTGGCAGCCCATCAGTTCAGAGATGGCACTTTGCTGTGCAGGCTTACCAAGGAGTTACGCAGGTGAGACATGTGGAAAATGTAAAACAATTTGACCTTAAACATGGTTCATGTTGAAAGGAACCAAACTGGACACAAATGCCTATGTGGCATAGCCTTTTTTCAATGTGTGATGCAGTAATTGCTTGTGAAAAGATAAGTAAAGTATCAATTGTTAAAAAAAAAAGGCTGTTCGTGATAATTCAATCAGTTTTCAAACTTGACACAATTAGGTGAGTGAGTGAGTGCTAAATATGATACCCTTTGTAGTAATTTCATGGTTATAATCATATGGAGTGCTCCTGTCTTGGAAGGTTATGTGTCAGCCATATAAAACAACCAATTTAACCTTCTGACTCTCCTGTTTTGTAGTTTTGCAGCTCAGACTGGGAAGAGCTGGGGACAGGCCATCAGAAAACTGACAGTGAAGAGGAGAAGCTTTCTGCTGTGGAGTCATGTCTCAGCTCTCTGAGAAATCAGGAGGCATCAGACCAAAAAGCCGACCAGCCGTCACCAGCAGAGTGAGAGACAGATCAAACCTTTCTCTTCTTTATGATATGACATCTTAGGTTCATGTGTCTCAATGATTCAAGATCCAGTTGTTACTTTTGTCCTGTTGGATTGCAAGTTATTTTCTGATCTGATCTTTATTGAGCAGGCTGTTGGAAGAGGCTGCTGAAGGACTGCATCTCCTGACAGACAAGCTTCCACCTCCAGGTACTGCTGAGCGCTTACTTTCTTTAAATACTACACCTTTCTTAGCCGCTATGAGTTGAGTCATATAATACAATAGTAAAAATTGTAACTTTGGGCTCAGTTGGTACTGTTGAGTGTGTAGTTGGAATAATACAAATACATGAACATTACTTTTATTCAATGAATTAAAATGAACACTCTCCTCATCTAAGAGGTTGAATCCAAAATGCTTTCTCTCACAACTTCTCAGAGGATTTTGGTTGTTGTGATGAAGAGCAGGGCTAGATAGTTTCCCTTTATTTTTCTTTAATGAGGAGAACAACAAATGTGCAGTGTACCGAGGGGCCAACAGTGCAAGAAGTTAGTTTCTTGCACAAAGCAATATCTCAAATGAGGTTGCCTATAACATGGAATTAAAAACGTTTTAGCAAAGACAAATTCCTCAGCTATAGGGATCAATTCCAATTTCAAGCAATTAGGTTTTGGAAATCTGCCTGCTGCAGCCCTGTAGAAAAGGTGCTACCCTATTCTATTTAATAATAGGCACTAACTGCTGGGTACATCACTACTTCTTCACATTTCTGCTCTGTTCATTTCTTAAAGAGCATTTCTTACACACCATCTTTGCAGGAGTTCAGGAACAGTAACCTTTCATTTGTAGCTGCCCAAAGAAGCTGGAGTCACTACTGGCTTCCCACTTAAAAAAACATAAAAACATGGTGTCGATCCAGGGACTGGGTATGAGCCTCAGGCTATCTCCCTTTCAATATGTTTTAGCCTGACAGCTACTGCTTAGAGCTAGAAAACAAATAACTCCTGGAAAAGAAACTGGTGCATTTTGTCAGATAATTAATTAAATGTTACATTCTGTTCTTGTATATATCATATTATATATGTGTATATAGACATCTTGCACTATTTGTATTTTATTATATATGTTGCATCGTTGGAGGAGCTCGAAGATTTTCATTGCCTTTTTTACACTCTAGCTTATGTGCATATGACATTAAAACCTTTGAGTCTTTGAATCAGAGAAGGAGAAAGTGTTGAGAATTTGGCTACATTTGATTAATCACATAACTAATAACCTAATGTCAACGTCATTGAGCCACTGTCTATGTGCTGACCTGTATGTCAGATGTGAGAAATCTTTGTCGGGCTCTTTGCGTTGTCCTTTGTGTGTATATTCCTTTTATTATAAAAATGAATAGAAACAAAGAAAAATGATAACTTATCAGCCCTTGTTGAATCTGTAGAGACAAAGAAAAGACAGTAAATATTTAATGTATTCCTCTGTGGTTTGTCTCATGTACCCCCCCCCCCCCCCCCCCCCCAGGTAAAGCCCTGCTGGATGTGCTGGTGCTGGGCTCTACAGAGCAGGCCCCTCCTGTCAAAGACCTGCTGCCCCTGCTGGGAGCCCTCAAACACATGTCCCGCTGGCACGCTGCTAAGATCACTGTTGTCACACAGCACACCACGGGGTGAGGAGACGAGAAATACTCAAGCCTTACATTTCTTCAGAGCACAAAGAATATGATGAAAACACATTGAAACGATCCAACAGACAGGAACCTTACTAAAGTCATTGTATTAACAGGATACATTTACATTGACTCTGTTTGGTTGTCAACTATAAGTTAATGGTGGTGTGCCAAAAGTAATAACTTGATGAGGATTGCAAAAATGGCAAAAAATGCAGCAGTGTTGTGCGAATTTGCAGATATTATTATTTTTGCTCCCAGTTCACCACTAGGGGGCGAGAGAAGAGTAACGATGAGCAGGTCAATTACAGTAGGACTAATGCCTGAATAAACTAAGAAACATTTATACTCCCTTTATTTAATGGCAAAATAGCTTCAACAATTATTAATTATATCTTGTTGATGTATGTGCTTAAGTGGAGATTTGTCAGGACTATTTTTCCATTAATTACTGGAATCGTAAATAAAAATCCCATGAGTTCCCCTGTGCTCATCATTGAGTGATCGTTTTCTTTTCTTTTTTCAGGTGGCAGAAAGCAGCGTCCTACCTGAGTGCTGCTCTGGTGGAGCCTGCTGCCCTGCACAGCTGTTTGGACCACAGAGAGCTGTGGAGGGGGGGCCTGGTTATCAGAGAGAAGAAGGTAAGGACCGTAGTTAAAGAAATGAAGTGAGCATGTGAAGGAACATCCAGGGAACACATTTATTTTTTTGCATTATTTAGTCTCGTCTTTTTGACTTTTTCATGTCTTTTATACATACATGTAAACATGTGTCCCCTCTGTGGAAAGAGATTCTGAAAGTTTCAGGAAAAAAGATTCTCTCTCTTTTTGTCCTGATCCATTTATATAAAAACCTGTCTGAAAATGAGCTGATCAGATTTTGGCCACTTAATGATGTCATAAAGATTTTTTGGCTTGTGTAACCATTAGCCAATCACCAACCAAGGTAACCCCCCCCCCCCCCACCTTATCACCTGAATCTCCTCCTAGAGCACCATTGTGTTCTTTTTAACCAAATCTCTCTCAGAGGGGCGTGGGGAGTGGCTCCTTATTTTCATCTAAAGTAACAGACAGAGAATCAGCACTTTTGGAACAGGGCTGAAACAGAGGGGATTATGGGATGCTACAATGATCTGTTTGGTATTTGGAGCCAAACACTTCAGAGACATGTTTTGCATATATCTGAGACCTATAATATATTGATGAAAAACAGTACAATAGGGGACCTTTAATGTAGAAAGATAGAACTAGAGAAAACATTTACTCAGTTGAACCTACAGCAGTATTCATTTTTTTTAAAGAGACAGGTGACACAGGACTCTGGGGCGGCCAAAGAGATCGGCTTATTAGAGAGAGGAA